TTTTGCGCGAAAATTCAAAACAAACAAACAGTACCTTTTAGCTCTGTTTTTACCATGAACAATTTCAAGTTTTACCTACTGTCTATGGTGAATATTATGGCGATTCTACTGTTGCACTTTCTGCTTTCATAACTTCAGTTAACAATAACCCATCAGGTCCACAACAAGCTTTAATCGTGTCAATTATCTCGCAGATGGAATATTTCAACTAATATCAGAAGCTCAAATAATATCATAAGCCAAAGCATATATCCAGAAAGTTCTTTCAATCTCTCAGCGCCTCTGGGTTTGGCATGAATCTCCGTCACCCGTGAGGACGTTATAATGTTACGGTAAATCCCACTATTCGTTGGTAAAGGAGTAGCTCAAGAGTTGGCGGTGGGCGGTGTTAGCTAGCTGCCTTCCCTCTAGTGTGACATTCCTAAATTAGGGACGGTTAGCGCAGATAGTCCTCGAGTAGCTTTGCACGAAATCCCAAACAAACCAAATCTCTCAGCACCAAAGACCCGTGTACATTTACAGATTGACTCTAGGATGAAGTTTCTTAATGTAGTGATTAACTTAATTCTTTACATATTGACTCTAGTATGAAGTTTCAGAACATAATGGTTTGTATGATTCTTGGCAGATTAACTAGTGTTATTAAGTTTTATTTAGAAGGGTTACTTGTGACACTCTGTATTTTTCTTTCACAGTTTCTACAATAAAGGGAAATGGACTGTATTTAACAAACATTGTAATCTAGGTTTTTTTGGATATGTTAATACTTGAGAACTAGTAATCATGATTTTTCAACTCTTAAAGCAACAATTGGTCCCTGAGCTTCATTCATAAACCTACCTGTCAACTCAAATAAGTTTGACTCAGTCCACCAAAACAGGTTACTAAAAAATCACAAGTATCTCTACCATGAACTTGTTTTCCAACAAATGTCAGTTACGTTTCATGAGAACTGCCAAAATGATTAAGTAACCAATTAAAACAATCCTTTGATGTAGCTGCCCATGCACACATTTTTATATTATTATTATTATGTTTAAGTAAATTTTGGGCTTTTACTGCTAGTAACTCAGAAATATTATAGCATGCAGTGTGTTTATCTTGAGTTTTCTTTTTAGATTGCTGTTATATTATAATTCTAACTCTTCTAGATCCTCAAATGGGTTGGCCATGGGTCAGATCCTCAGTTAGGTTGGCCATGGGTCAGTCATTAGGACGCTTGGACTGTGAATCTATGGATTCATGGTTTGTGACCCATTGCATCTGAAAAACGTGCTTTGAACTTATGGGTTGTATGTGTGTTATAAGAATGATAGTCAAATCCCATTATTTGATCAGACAAGAGTAGCCCTAGAATTGGCGGCAGGCGCTGTTGACTAGATGGTTTTCTTCTAGTCGATCAGTTCTTATAACTTTTATAGCTTTGTGAGAAATTATGAAACAAACCATTTTAATTGCACAACTTAGTTATTTTTTTGTAGTTGGTTGTCATACAAATTCTAGTGCACTGTGCTAAGTGTGATCGTGTAGGCTATAGTTTATTCTTTTATCACGCATAGTATCAGTATTTGATTTGAACAAAATTATTGGTGATCTTTTCAAGTAATGTTACGCAGAACGTAGTAATACTATTGAAACGCCAACGTTAACTTAAATGTTTATTTTATCATATACAAATTTATATTTGTTTGTAGGGTTATTTTGATTCTTTTATGTGATTATTATTATAATATCAGTGATGATATTGAAATGTGTGTTTCAGATTCAATCTTATGTTGTATTGGAAATTCAACTTAATATTCTACTCTGGAGTATATTACAAGGAAATCAATGAATATATATATATATATTGAAAATAGATTGGTGACCTAGAAGGCCATCTTTAACCTCTTATGTTAAGGGGGGGGGGATTGTTCCCCCCAGTGGCACAGCGGCATGTCTGCAGACTTGTACTGCTAAAGCAGAGCACAGTAGCCCATTGTGTAGCTTTGTACTTAACTACAAACAAACAAAAGGGATTTCCCCCAAGTTCCACGACTAAACAAGCTCCCCACCTGCTGTGTCACTGGTAAGTTTACAAACTTGCAATGTTAAAATCCAGGGTTCGATTCCCAGTGATGGACAGAATGAAGATAACACGTTAACCTCATTTTTGTTTCAATAATACAAACATGGAACATTATATAGAGTGAAAGGCTAGAAGGTGGTTAAATATTTATAAAACTTCTTTGAGAACAAGAGAATATATCTCATGTAATTTTGTGGATATTACTTCATTAGGTTGTGAAAGTTAATATTCTGTACATCTGTCAGTAATATAAACCTAAATAACTATATTTTATGTACATATATTGATCAATGTTTCGTTTAAATTTTTTAGTGCCAACTGAAATCCAAACGGCTATAAAATACTTGGGGGTGGGGTGGAGATGTTATATTTATTTGAAGTTTCGATTTACAACTTCTTCTGGAGGACTGTATTCAAACTATAGTTTTAGACCGAGAATCCAAGTCCGAAAACTTCTGGTCGTTTTCGTACTGTTTGTTGTGATTGATGTTATGTATTAATGCTTTCATAATTTATTTTTAATAGATGATTTATTCTGTTTTGTATGTGATTTTATCCTAGATCAGATTACCATTCTATGGTTTTATCCTGGATCAGATTACCATTCTATGGTTTTATCCTGGATCAGATTACCATTCTATGGTTTTATCATGGATCAGATTACCATTCTATGGTTTTATCCTGGATCAGATTGCCATTCGATGGTTTTATCCTGGATCAGATTACCATTCTATGGTTTTATCCTGGATCAGATTACCATTCTATGGTTTATCCTGGATCAGATTACCATTCTATGGTTTTATCCTGGATCAGATTACCATTCTATGGTTTTATCCTGGATCAGATTACCATTCTATGGTTTATCCTGGATCAGATTGCCATTCTATGGTTTTATCCTGGATCAGATTGTCATTCTATGGTTTTATCCTGGATCAGATTGCCATTCTATGGTTTTATCCTGGATCAGATTGCCATTCTATGGTTTTATCCTGGATCAGATTGCCATTCTATGATTTTATCCTGGATCAGATTACCATTCTATGATTTTATCCTGGATCAGATTACCATTCTATGATTTTATCCTGGATCAGATTGCCATTCTATGATTCTGTTTGACGTTTAATCAAAATTTTTCAAATAATTACTGTACCTCAATATTTTATAGTTGTTGGAATGTTTTATTCACGTGCACTGACTTTACTAAGCTATCATTTATGCATGTTGTGGTGTACTTTATGTATAATATCAAAAAAGAATGTACAAATTGTGACTGAAATTTAATGAAAATAAACGTCATTGATATTAGCTGTTAATTGTTTTGAACAGAATAATTTCCAAAATATTTCGTGAAAAAAAAAACACGAAAGAAAAACTTGAACTTTTTTTTAATTTATAGCAAATATTACTAATGTACAACAATTGTGAAAGGATAATTAGGAAACGTCCCCCGGTGTGAAAGCGGTAAGTTTATGGACTTACAACGCCAAAATCCGGGGTTTGATTCCCTACTGTATACAGAGAGTCGATAGTCTATTGTGGAAGTTTGTATTAAGATGTATTAAGAAATTGATTAGACACTCGGTGTTTAAAACCTCATTTCAAGAAGAAACAGCGTTTGCACCAGAAGGGCAGGGGGTGTGTGTGAACGTGCCTGCACTTTGGGACCGTGGGTGCGCTATAAGAGCGACGGACAATTTCACTATTCGGTGCCAGCTAGTGAAAGTGGGTTTTCTTGGGGCTCTCCCGTTCCCCCCCCCCCACAGCTAATCTTTGGCATCGGATCTATAGATCCCCCGCCGCCCTGATGGACCATAAGTCCCATGTCCCATATCGGCCGTTTTTTATGTTAATGTCTGGTTTTATTCTACCTTCCTGGTTCGCTTTCCGCCTTTCACCTGCTTGTTGTCAAATTATTATTATTATTTTGTTGTTTTTTCACATTAAGCCTCCCACGTCACTGTAAAACATGTGCGGGGCGAAGAGTATCACATTTCTGAACGCCCCCGGTTACATTCAGCTCTGAAATCCTTCCGATCTTCAGCTGAATGGTTCAAATCGAAACAACTGCCACGGTAAACGTAAACTATTCAGTCGGACAAGAGTTGATGGTGGGTGCTGTGACTAGCTGTTCTTTTTTTAGTCTGTCAATTCAACATTAGAGAAGCTATATACAGAGAGCCCTTGTGTTGTTTTGTGTGAAAATGCTAAAAAAAAAACGATCCTGTCTTTTTTTGTAACTCGAGTTGAAAGTATATATACATTTTGTGCTAAAAGTATACAAGAAAACGTTTAATAAATTTATAATCTTACGCTTTTTTAAAAGATGTAAAATCGTGACATTTGTTATGTAAATAATTAATGAAAGTTATTAAGTGTTACACATATGCTGATTATAAATGAAAGTCAGTAAGGAGATGAAAATTTTGTTCTCACGAAAAATAATCTTTCTTGTCTAATTTTCGTTGTAATGCAAGAAGTCACATTCGTGTTTCGTTTAAACAAAACAAGTAAGCATATAAACATAATCAGTATCATAGGCATTTGAGGTATTCAGATACACTCGTGAGCATCAGATAAGAATTAAGGTATCCAAAAATGCATTTGGAAATATTATGAGGTCTTAATGAATACAGAAATAACTGGCTGCTGGCTGAAGAAAATATAAAAAAATGTGTACAAAACAAGAACCAACCAAAAAATTATGTATTATCACACTTTCAAATCAGACTTAAGCATGACATTCTCTCCCTATCAATCATGGGGACGTTATATAGTGACGACATCCCCCACATTTCATTGGTAAAAGAATAGCCCGAGAGCTAGTGGTGGGTAATATTGACTAGCTGCCTTCCCTCTAGTCTATCACTTCTAAACTATGGACGATTAGTGCAAAAAACCCTCGAGTAGCTTTGCGCAAAATTCCAGAAACAAATTAGACCATGTCACAAATGTGGTATCCCACAATTCTTAGATCACTTACATCAGCGACTATTTGAAATCATGTATTCACGGAAGAGACTTACTAATTCATACCAAGTAATATAAAAATCCATAGCACCGTTCGAGATGGGCTTTTCCTGCCCCAGAAAATAGAAATAAACAGAGGGTCGAACTGACATAAGCTTCCATTAAATGGCTGTTTCCATATGTGACCTTTACCTAAGCAAAATGACTTGTGCCTGTTTATGGCCTTTTGAAATCCATTCTAGTATGGTACTTGGAAAAGTACTAAATTTTCTTTCTTTCTTAGAGATAAATGGTTTACAAAATTTCCAAAAAAATATATATATATCTAGGCTTTTAAAGCGATTACAGGCCTAAAAAAAGAAAAATCTGCCTTTTACAGAACTGACCTTGTTTCGTATGCTAGGACTATTTCTCACTTGTATATTTTTTATCGTGAATTATCTTGTCGAAGATCAAGTTTTGAACTTGTATCTACTGATAATAACCTCTGCCGCTCAGTAGCACAACGGTATGTCTGCGGACTTACAACGCTAGAATCCGGGTTTCGATTCCCGTGGTGGGCAGAGCACAGATAGCCCATTGTGTTGCTTTGTGCTTAATTACAAACAAA